TCTAAAAGGGCCAGATAATAAATATCTTAGGCTTTGAAGGCCATATGCTACCTGTTACAACTGCTCTCTCTCTCTCTCTCTCTCTCTCTCTCTCTCTCTCTCTCCACACACACACACATCTATTAGAAAAAATATATGTATATTTTACAAAAGTAGGCATTGTCTGCTGACCAAGGATCTGGAAAATAAATAAGGAACTAGAGTATATTTTCTGTGAAGGCTAATCATTATTATTGCTAGACTGCCTGAGAATAAACTTGTTCAGTGTACCTCCATAGACGCAGGATGGTCAGATAAGCAAGAAAGTCTTTAAACAGCTTGGACCAGGGGAGTGGAAAGATTTCTAATTTTGTCTCCAAACAAGGATTCTGCACTGCTCTGAAACTTTTAATTTATCGGGAGACACTAATCCACTGGGCATTCCAATATCCGTCTGGGGACTGGTAAATGAAATGGACATTTTTGTGCTTTGAACAGGAAATGAAATGATGGCCCCAAACCTTGGGAAATGTTCCTCACTGAGTGGTCAGGCGTTAAAGGACAGTACCCGGATTGGATAATGCAGAAAATGTGTTTCTGTGTTCATCTTTTTAAGATGGTTTTCTTCTCTCCTTGGGTCTGGGAATGTGGAGGAGACCAGTGCCCCAGGATTTTACAACATTTGCAGCCCAGGGGATCCACCCAGACTCCAGCCCCTGGAGAAGACACTCATTTACTCTAGAGAACGGTCGAGAAATGGTGTTTCCTGTTTCTCATCCTCTTTAGATTTTACTGCTTTGTGCAGGCTCCTTCCTCTTGAGGCTGTTCTCATATTGGTGCAGGGTAATTGTCGACTTTCAGAGAACACATCTGAGTATAACCCAAGGTTAGGTTTTCCCCAAATTGTGGTTTTAAATCAGTTGGCAAGAATCTTTTGCCCGGTGGTTGCAATAGGGGAGACGGAGCAGACATCACAGCCTCTGTTCTGAAGATGCTTGCAGTCTGCTGGGGAGACAAAAGAAGACCCGAGAAAGAAGGAGAGCAGGGCAAGACAGAGAGTAATTTGTGCATAAGGGTAGTGTAAGACTGATAATATGTGGTTTATATTTTTAAATAGGTGGTGCCACTTTTAAATAGTCACTTGACAGAGAATACATTTGTTCAAAAGATCTCAAAGAGTCTCTTCTGATAGCCAATAGCTGATAAGAACATGAGAAAGGTGTCCAACCTAATTAATCGTCAGAAAAATGCAAGTTGGCCATATTGAGATACCAGTGAACACCAAGCAGAATGACAACATAGTGGTGACGATACCAAGTGCTAGTGGGAAGGCGCAGCAGTATGATCATTTTGAAAATGTTTGGTATTCTAGAACATTAGCATACTGTGTGACCTAGCACTTCTACTTCTAGACCTGTACCCATTATCTATCTATCTATCTATCTATCTATCTATCTATCTACCTATCATCTATCATCTATGTATCCATCCATCCACCTACCTATTTATCTATCTATCTATCTATCTATCATCTATCCATTCATCTGCTATCTTTCTATCTATCCATCTATCTTTCTGTCTGTCTATCCGTCTATCATCTATCTACCATTATCCTCTCTCATCTTTCTATCATCTATCATCTAATCTATCAATCATCTATCTATCCATCCATCCACCCACCTATTTGTCTGTCTATCTATCTGTCTATCTATCTATCTATCTATCTATCTATCTATGTATCATCTAGCTAGCTATGTATCATCTAGATATATAGATATATATATAGATATCTATATCTATATATCTATATCTATATATCTATATATCTATATAATTCCACTTATTTCAAGTTTAAAAAACAAGTAAAACTGAACTCTAGTGGTAAGGGATTTATATTTAGATAGTCGCAAGTATTTTACAAAAGCCAAGACCGTGGACTGCATAAGTCAGTGTAGTGGTCACCTTTGGGGTGAGAGAAGGAATACTGGAGGGGCGGGGCATGCAGTGGGAGCCCTTCTGGGGGTGTTGGCAATATTTAATTTTTTCCTTACATCGAGGAAACACTGGTATTAGTTTTGTAATAACTCAGTGTGCTATAAAAGACTTTTCTTTCAAAGATTGATCGTATTCCTAAAAATACGCCCCATTTATTCATGCCATAAATATTTATTGAACACTTACTATGTGCCTGGCACTGAATGAGACCCTGGGGATGAAAGAGGAGAGGGGACGCACAGGCCTCTGTAGCCCACATCTCTGAATTCTAGCACAGTAGAGCCTGGAAGGGAAGTTTCCGGAAGAAGAGGAGGGCATGTGCGGAATGATGACAGCAGCATCTCACAGAGAATGCTGATTATGGTGCTCACGATATGCTGGGCCCTGCTCTTAGCAATGTGTGCGGGTGAAGGTTTGTTCTCACGGCCTCCAGAAGCATTAGGCATCGCCGCTATCCCCATTTCACAGCAGTGGACACTGAGGCACACAGAGAGAGGTCAAGCAGTTCGCCCAAGGACCCGCAGTGAATCAATGGTGGGGCCACCTCAGATCCAGGCAGGCCTTCTCCTTCCCAGATGAGGGGATGAGCCCCTTGTCACTGCTTTTCCTGGTTCCCCGTGTCTCTCCATGCTCTGTCCCGGGGGAGTCTCCCCATTGCTCCAAGTCATGAATTCTTGTGGTTTAATCTAGTGCAGTGCTTGTCCTGTCTGTGGAGGCTTTTGTTTTAACTTCAATGAACCACATAATCGACTTCCGAGATACCTAATTGGTTCACGGTTTTGTTGTTATCTGAATTTTATTTCTCCCTCTTTTGGTGGCATACCTTCTTGGTTTTTGGGGGTTTTTTTGAAATAATTATTTCTTCACTCTCTTTGAGCATTTACTTCTTTTAACATCGCTATCAGCCTATTCCTATGAAATTAATTTTATCTGCAGGAAATTCATGTTGTGGTTATTGACGGTTTTAATCATTTGGATCCAATAATCTGTTTCTTCCAGTTTGCCTGAACGCCAGCTCTTGAGTTCCCTTTAGTTTGGAGAGTTGTTTTGTTTTTGTTTGGGGCAATCATGATTTCCAGTTTCAGTTAGTTTGCACTGGAATAGGCACTGAAAACATTTTTAATTTTTTTTTTCAACGTTTATTTATTTTTGGGACAGAGAGAGACAGAGCATGAACGGGGGAGGGGCAGAGAGAGAGGGAGACACAGAATCGGAAACAGGCTCCAGGCTCCGAGCCATCAGCCCAGAGCCCGACGCGGGGCTCGAACTCCCGGACCGCGAGATCGTGACCTGGCTGAAGTCGGACGCCCAACCGACTGCGCCACCCAGGCGCCCCTGAAAACATTTTTAGTGCAGAATCTCAGATTTTTACTGTTTTCCCAATTTCTTAAAAACATAGGTTTTCCTCTTATTCTTAACACTTTCTAAACACCGACCTTTAGTAGGTTTCTCTAAAGTCTTCATCTCAGGCTCCATAAAAACAGCCAACACTTTGTACTCATATTTCATTGCTTTCTATGACGTTTCATTACATTAAGCAATGACATTAACAGATGGATCATAAATGATTTTGGGAAACAATCAGAGCTGACCCTTGGCAAGCTCCCCTCTGGGACAGAAGTATCTGTCTGAGTATCCAATTAGCAGTGAGTATTCAGGGCATAATAGATGCCAGTCAGGATGTTCCTCAGAGGGTGATGGACAGTACCAGTGAATTTGGCCAGTCATGTGGATATAACTTGGTGGAGAGTTTTTCTGGCCAAAAGAACAGCATGTGCAAAGGGCCTGAAGCAGGTAAAAGTTTGGTGGGTACAAAGGACAGAAAGACCAATGAGACTGAAGTGTAATGAATAAAGGGGAAGAGGATATGGGAGGAAATGAGGCAGAGAGACATTGGGAGACCTGACGTTTGGAGCCTATCAACTGTCTTAAGGGGTTTGGATTTTATCCTGAAAACGGCAGGAAGCCAATGGCCAGTTTTAAGCTAAGAAGACAGAAGAGAGAAGGGCATCCATGTCTGTAATAACTACCCATCTTCCTCTCTCATAAAATCGTTTGAGAGTGTCAGCAAGAAGTGGCTGCGGATTTTCAGACTAAGAGAAAGATGATTTTTATACTTAATTATTATTATTTTTTTAACGTTTATTTTTGAGACAGAGAGAGACAGAGCATGAACAGGGGAGGGGCAGAGAGAGAGGGAGACACAGAATCTGAAACAGGCTCCAGGCTCTGAGCTGTCAGCGCCGAGCCCGACACAGGGCTAGAACTCACGAACCGCGAGATCATGACCTGAGCTCAAGTCGGACGCCCAACCTACTGAGCCACCCAGGCACCCCATGATTTTTATACTTAAAAAGTGTTAATTGACGTGTGCGTGTTTGAATATTAAAAGTTTGGACGTTTAGAAATGCGTGCATCCCCGCACATATTAAATGGGTTTCGGTGTGCGAATGCAATATGAAACCAAACACTTTGAACTATCCCTCCACGCCATCCCCACTCCCCTGCAAAAGAAAAGGAAACTGGAAGGCGGCAGCCCTGAGGCTGGACAAGAGGAGGATGTTAAATGACCTTGACAGAGTCGGGAGCTACTGAGAAGTTCCAGTGTTCTTGCCGTCAGGATGGCTTCCCTTCCATGTGACCAAGGGGCCCCAGTGGGACCCAGGCCTGGGGGGGGGGGGGGGAAACGTGAGAGATGGCACACTTAGAGAGGAAGATCAGAAAGTGTGTTGTCCTCAAATTTGGGGGGACAAGAAAGGAGACAAGTTAGGGGGCAAATTCCAGATCTCTTTGTTCTACGGATACTGCTCAAAGGACCTAGGTGGGAGCCGCCTCGGCTTCAGAGACCCGTCGGTGAGACCCAACTCCCTGCAATAATGGTTGGCAGCCGTGATGAGCACCAGTTCTGCCCCCGGCGCTCACCGGTGCCACTGACTGGTGATCCACTTTGAGGTTTCCCAGCCCCGAGGAAGGGGTTGGGTGTGTGGATGTCCCTGAACCGTGCAGGAGAGTCTCTGAGCTGGTTTTCCTCCTCGTTAGTCTCCTGTCATTCTCTGTCTCAGATGCATCTATCCCTAGGGGTTGGGGCCATGTGCATCCCTGGACCCCAGATACCAAACCCGACTTTTTGCCAGTTACATAGGAACTTCAGGTTGGACCCAGGAACCGGAAATCCCAGTGTGAAGGCAGAGAGGGAACTGGCAGCAGAGAAAGGCTGTGGCGAGACTAGGAGACGGCGGTTGCTTTGTGCCCCGTCTCCCAAATGAGGAGCCTCCGTCCTCCTGGCAGTGTAGGGTGCCAGGCTTGGGGATGCTGGCTGGCATTGCTTGAGAGCTGAGAACGGAAATATCCCGTGACTGCCATTGGTGTCCAGACGGTGCAAGAGAATGATTTACAGAGATGGAGAGAGGCCATTTGGCTGGCCCCAAATTTGATCTACTTTTCCTTCTCGTAAATCCAGCGTTCACATAAATCTTTGTAGTCCTCTATCCCACCCATGCTGGGTTCCTCTTTTTCTCCCCCCTCTTATTCTTCATGAAAATAAATAAATCACCGGCAGTCATCCTCTGCCCATGGCCCAGCCCGTGCAGCTCAGGAGCCGGGTCACCAAGAGGACCCTGTCTCCCCATGACCCTGCCTTCTTCCACCCGTAGCAAGAAGGCTTTGTAAATGCCGTTGTTACTGCTGGACGTGGGCACACAGCAGCCTACTCCTTCATTACTGGGTAGCTTCCCTGAGAAGGCAGCCAGAGCAGAAGAGGAGCGCACATGAGATCAGAGGCGGCAAAGTCAGCGATGGGCTGGACCGCCCACCTTCCTTCCGGTCTGGGTCTGCACCACCGGCTCAGCATCCTTGTGGGGCCTGGTCCCTCTGCCATCAGGCCACATTCTCGCCTTTCCTGGCCTTGTCCTCTGCCCTTTCACACTGTTTAACTTCTGTGCCCACTGTTCCCTTGGGGACATACCTAGTGACCGATCCATCTGGTAAGTTAATCCAGCAGGTGCGCTGCACAGGAAAGTATCCTGGGCTCCAGATTCAAGCTATGGCTTCTTGGCACGGTCTTTGGCAAGTCACTTCCCCATTCTAGACCTCAGTTTCCTGACCTGTCACGTGGGAAAGCTACACTGGGTCAATTCCAACATTTCTGTCAATAGTAGAATCGTTTACTCAAACACGTTTTTGGTGAAAGCTCCGAATTTTGAAAAGAATGAAAGGTGGTATCGGTTGAAGTTGGAGTGGATTTGACCTCTGGCTGAGAGACCGTGGCTAAAGGCACTGCCACTGAACTCTGGGGGTCGAGAGGGGCTGAGGTCCTGTTTAACTGTACGCCTCTATCATTTCAGACGTGTGAATGTGGACTGACTCCCAGACGGGGCTGGGCCTCAGTTTCTCCCAACGCTAGGAAGGAGCAGGTGGAAGCTGGTGATGTTTAGGGCCCTTCTGGTGCCGAGTCCATCATCAGTAATGTGTGCTAATGACTGATGAGGTCTGATGGGCCCCCTAGATACGAGGCTTGCATATTCATGTTCCCACAGCGCTGTCAGCCGAGGCAGCCCTGTGGATTTCAGTTCACGGGCATTGCGGTGGCCGGAGAAAGACCTCGCTGGGGCCGCGGGGGAGGGGGTGGGGGGGCTTTTGGTGGTACCACGGTCTACGGGGGAACGCAGTCTGCCTAAATCACCAAAAAGGCCACATGCTTGGCAGAGAGGATGCAAACCCATCTCATGCCAGCCTGGATTTCACTAATCTGAACATAGTGTGCATACTTCACCCTCCCCCTTCATTGCCTCATGTTGTGTCCCGTGAGGTTACTAAACCGCGTTGGCTGAAGGAAGCGGGTGTTGTTTGGCCCCATTTGCCTTCTGAGCCTGTGGGGAAGTTGAGGAAGCCCAAAGAAATGTGTGCGCACACCTGCCCAGGCCGTGTCTCCTGCAGGAAGGGGCCCTCTCCTTCATTGGTCATGCTCCTCTGGCCTAACATGGCTGCATCCCCGTGGCAGTGCCCTGTCCACGATCCCTCGATGTGCTCAGCGTCTTCCACGTCAGTCTCACGGTCCCCTTCTTGTGCTGGAGCCACCACACTCCTACCTGACACCCCTCCTGGCCATTGCTTGCCCATTTATCTTCCTGGGCCCTGGGGCAGGTCTGATGCCTCCCGCTCTTCCTGGGTTCTCCCTCCCCACAGGGGCTACATCGTGGCATTTTAGTGGCCACCGGATGCCCACCTCCCCATCCCGCCCTGGGACTTGGAGGGACTTCACCCCATTCTGGTCCTGAGTGGACCCGGAGGCTGCTTCCTGTTCACTGCCTTCCCCATAGCTGCAGCCCCACTCACTCTCCAGTGCCCCCTTCACCTTCCTACTAGGAGGACACAGGTGCCTTCTAGAAGCCAACACGTTCATGTTTCTCTGCAAATACGTACTCCTTCACCATCTAAACTCAAGGAGTAGAAAGAACAAGGAGACTTTGTTATGTTGTCTGCCTGATTTCTGGTAGGCTCTGGGCAAAGGCTAATTTGTAGAGTTCAAGCAATGGGGAGGTGGTTTTGCCACTGTTTCTTTTAGCTGTGGGACCATTTCTTGAAGGAAGCCTTAGGGGAAGAGACCTTTGTCAGATTTTCCACCTCCACAGCTCCCTCCCTCTGCCATTCACACCAACCTCGGGGGGAGTGTAGGGCTCTGAGATGAACATGCATTGAAATCACTGGCTGGTGGATGGGAGACGGGGTCAGAAAGTTGGTTTCTGTTTCATGAGAGATGACATGATTTGTTGTGAACCTGCAGTCTTTATTATGGGCAGGTTTATTCCCAAGAGGGGAACAGACAGGCCCTGGTCCTCCGGTTGCTGAAAAGCATGTCGTGCATTGTTTCCAGGCCCTGAAGGATCCCACCCTGGCTGCCCGGAAGGATTTCCAGAGGGAGGCTGAGTTGCTCACCAACCTGCAGCACGAGCACATTGTCAAATTCTATGGTGTGTGTGGCGACGGTGACCCGCTCATCATGGTCTTTGAGTACATGAAGCACGGAGACCTCAACAAGTTCCTCAGGTAAGCAAGGACTGCGGTCCCCACCCCTAGTCCCCCCACCCAGCTCCGCTGAACCCCTGTACTTCACCTGGAGTCAGAAGTTACTCCCACTTAAGTCTGGGGATTAGAAATGAGGCGTAGCTGTTCAATCTTCCATACCATCTCCTGAGGAGCAAGCTTCAGACCTTCGTCACTGATTTCTGGTGGGTAACATCGAGGGGGCTGTGACAAGGGAGTATTTTCTTCCTGATCACAAAGTAGACTGGCCACAAGAGAAGGCTCTGGAATGAGTCCGAGGAGGGAGCCCCTACCAGCCTGTAACTCTCAGCTTAGAGACTCTAGAACCGCCCTTTCTCCTGATTCTCTGAATAGCTTTCTCACTTTGTGCCTTACATTTCTCAGTGCTGCAAAGTAGAGCTAATTACACCCCTCCTGGAAAACTTCATGGTGGAGACTTTTTTCGTGATGAATAAGAAGGCCCAAGGTTACAAGCTCATCAGGAGGCCATGATGGTTGAAAAAGAACAGCAGATTTTCCTTGGATAAATTTATAACTGTGCTACCCAGTACCTTGGCTACATATGGATATTTGAATTTAAATTTACACTACTTAAATAGAATTCAAAAATTCATTTCCTTGGTCGCACTAGCCACATTTCAAGTACTCAGTAGTCACATGTGGCCAGTGGCTACCATGTTAGACAGTGTAGTATATGATATTTTTATGAATAAAAAGTTCAGTGGGATGGCACTATTCTAGAAAGATCGGATTTGTGGTAAGAGGGTTTCCCCAAACCTGGATCTACATCATCTGGATTTTGAGGTCCTCTTGAGGGAACTGGTAAGAGAATGGAACCCCAGCCAGGAGTTCTGGATGGGGTTGCAGGGGTTGGAAGTTCTGGTGGGGGGCAGACTCTATCTTCCCCAGGGAGGACAGCTTCTCACCATTAGAGCAGAGTTAACACTCTTCAACTTCCTACATCTGCCACTTCCAAGTAGTGCCCAGATGTGGAGGGGGCAGCCATGTGTGAGGATCTGTGGAATTCAGGGTCCCAGGAAGCAGGTTTGAACAACCAGGCCCTAGACACTTAGGGTGTGGTCTTAGCCACCTTTGAACTCCATTGACTCCCATGGCCCATAGTGACATTTTCAGAATTCGAATGTAAGTCATAGAACACTGTGGCTACTCACCAAAAACTGATGAGCATGTCCTTGAAGTGAGACATTCCTTGGGCGCTGTGGTTTTAAGGAGGAATGGAAAGGGCCCGTAGCAGATAATGAACTTTTCTTATGAGCTGGATTTCCAAAAAATGGCCCCCGAGGAGTGGAAAGTATCTGTAGGGTGTTTGGAACCTCCTGAACTTGGATTTTCACAGCGAAATTTATTCCTCTCTTGGAGAACTCAGCCCTTATCATAAGACAGACCCGGGTTCGCATCCTGAATTTGTCACATCTTACCCATGTAACATAGAGCAAGTTCTTAAACCTTAATTCTCTTTCCTAGGAAACAAGACTGTTAATAACTGCTTCAGACGTTTGCTGTTATGAGTACTGAATGATTATATTTGTATACTACTTGGATGAGTTTTCCATGTAGCTGGGTTTTCAGTCAGTGAGAGCTACTATTAAATTATTACAATTACCATTTTATCAGAACTGTGAACCAGTCACTAACACAGGCAGTGCTGTTTCTCGGTATTGAGGATCTTTAGGCTGTGCTTGCACCCCCTGGAATGGTCAGAGGGACATGCTCCATTTTCCACCGAGCCCTCACCACAGATTCAGCAGTGCCTTTAGCCCCATGTGCCACACACAGGGCTACAGAGAGCTCCTGGTGCCTCTGTGCGCCACTGTCATTCCCAATATAAGGGAGGAGGGAGAAAAAGAGGCTACAAGGCAGTTGGTGGCTCTTAGGGGCAGGCTGCAGTGTCCTCTCCTGGTAGACAGGAGTGCAGGCTTGCTGGTGGATGCCCCTTCTTTGTGAGCTGATGCCGTAGCTCTCTTTTGGAGGGGTGAAGTAGGCAGATCCCACAGGAGACAGTAAAATGAATGTGTTCATATTTAATGACTCCTTTCAGTGGAAATTGGAGAAGCAGTAAAACAGGCCGAGGCCTCTCTGTATACCAGGGCTCCTTGGTCCACAACTTCATAAATAAGGGCTCTGGGTATGGTTATGGCTCATTGGGCTTTCTGGAAAAAAGAGTGAATACTGAAAGTGACCGATATGACAAGGCATGGCGTTAGGATAACAAATCCGGGCCTTAATTTGGGATGGAGGGGCAACCAAGGCTTCAGAGGCCTTGGCTTCAGGGTCATAGGGTCTCTCCAGCCGGCTCTGCCACCAACAAAAGTTACCCAGTCCTAGGCAGCGTGGTGGTCAAGGTAGGAATGTGGACTCAAGACCCCTGCTAATCAACAGTGTGGACTGCCCACTGGCAGCATCAGCACCGTGAACTTGTGGGAAATGCAAATACTCAAGCTCCACCTAGCCAATCAGAATCATAGGGGGAGGAGCCCAGTGTTCTGTTCAGCTGGCCCTCTGGATGATGTTCCCTGAATTTTAAAGCTCTCCAGAGCCACACACCGCCTGGTTTCAGTCGGCCTCCTGATTACCCATAAGGCCACTGCGGCACTACTGTGACTTTGGCCAGGTGATCTGATCACTTTGTGCCTCAGTTTCTTTATCTCAAAATTGGAGTGGGAGGATTAAGTAAATTAATAGATGTAGGGTCCTTAAAGCAGTGCTTGGAACAGTAAGGGCTCTGTAAGAGTTAGCTATTGTTTTGTTTTGTTTTGTTTTGTTTTGTTTTGTTTTGTTTTGTTTTGTTTTTAACGATTCTGTAGTAGATATCTAGAACCCAGGAAACTCCTGAATAGCGTTAAGATGTTTAAAAGAGTAGATGTATTTCCTGATCCATTAGAGTATGTCTGCATCATCTTAGCTGGGAACCTGGTTGTACTCATATCCACACTCACATGATGTAATATTGGGTAGATAAGACTAGGCAATAAGTAGGCTAGGAGAGATTTTATCCATGTCTGTGGTGTATTCCAGAGATCACGGCATCCAGAAGACTACTCCCCTTGATCTCCTGAATTCTCCTGTCCCCTGTCTTCTCTCCCACCCTTCACAGGGCCCATGGGCCAGATGCTATGATCCTTGTGGACGGGCAGCCACGCCAGGCAAAAGGCGAGCTGGGTCTCTCCCAAATGCTCCACATCGCCAGTCAGATTGCCTCAGGCATGGTGTACCTGGCCTCCCAGCACTTTGTGCACCGGGACCTGGCCACCAGGAATTGCCTGGTTGGAGCCAATCTGCTGGTGAAGATCGGGGACTTCGGCATGTCCAGAGATGTCTACAGCACCGATTACTACAGGGTAAGGTGGCTTTTCCAGCTGCAGGACTCAGCAGCAGAACTAGCACCTCGCTCACATGTCTTTGTCATTGTCCATTAACCCTGTCACTTGAGAGAACACACATGCGCACCCGTGCCCAGACATACACGCAATGGTCATCCTTTGGCCACCTCTGCTTCTTGACATACCTGTGTATTATTCTCACGATAGCTCACGCGTCCCTTCCCTTTGGACATTTAGCTCAAATATATTCTTCCGTTGCAATGACATATGCATCGTGTTTTTACTTGCATCAATACTCATTCTTCATGCAAACGGACCCATACGTATATGTGTATGCCCAAAATACACACATATTCAAGCTCAACTTGGTACTACATTTTAACATCTTCCACCTCAGTCCCTGATCCAGCCTTACCCACAACACATTTTATTCTCTGAAATTATCTGGTGACTGGGTAGGCTCATCTTGCCTTCAAAGGCAGATCTTAATGAGAAGTCAGAACCCAAAGTAAAGTAGCAAAAATCGTTAATGATGTGCTGAGCACGATCACCCCAATGATTTAGGAAAGAGGAAGCAAGAAAGCATGTTATTGTTGCCAACTTTTGAGAGAGATGCAGGTTGGCTTTAACAAAAGCTTTCTGATTGTGAGAGGAGATATCACGTTCAATTTTACTTCTATACGTTAATAGGTATCTTATTTTTCTCCCAGAATTATTTTCTCCCTTAGTCTTTGGAAATCCCCTTCTAATGGATTTGAGTGGTTTTGACAGTGTTTTTATTGCCAGGGAAAGGGCAAGTGGGCATGAGTGTCATTGACCCTGAAAGAGGGAAACATGGGTGCAGCCTGAGATGCAGAGATCGGGTAATTTCTGAAAAATGATCGGAAGGCACATGCCTCATGAGATACGTAAATTTTACTTCAGGGACATCGAATGGGTGAAGAGTTTGGATAGGTGGCATCAGAGAAGGGTGGGACAAACTTCTGGAGGTCAAGAGGCATGGCAGCCATTGTGGGGAATGAATGTAGGGAATGAACGATCATATTATGAGTCGAAGAGCTCAGATATGATTGTCCTGTCAGCCTAGGCATGATGGACGAGGAGGTGGGGAGTTTGGGGGTGGCATATACAGATCAGTTCTATCTGGATGCTCTTGGTGGTTTTGCCTGAACAACATTGCCCAAGACATTAAAACTGATCACTCGAGACACTTCATTTTAGCCAGGACCTGAAGAAAAATGAAATATTTAAGAAATGCCCTTTGTGGTTAGAAGTGATTTGTTCATGGTACAACCAAAGGATGGCAGATGATATACCATCAGGAGAGAATATGAGGCAAAGAAGACCAAAGGGCTTCTGGGAAGGTAGTATATCTGAGCAAGCTGGGCCATTTCTTGAGCCACCTGCCCTATCCAACATCCCCAGATATGGAGAAGGGAGTATAATGTAGCAGTAGCCACAGATGGATGGCCAGGGCAGACCTGCCAGGAAATACCAAAGCAGAGACTTTCTTTAGCATCTAGACTAATTTTTTCACTCATTTCCAAGAGAGACATTGGTATCATTACTAAAGGCCATGAGCCATAGATTTCTTGAGTCTGGCTGGAGTTGGCACCATTTAATTGCTTTGCGTTCTGTGTAATGGGGTTTGCTGGCCTGTCTGGCTGAGCTCGGATTTATGTTGGTGTTGATAAAAGCAAGGGAAGGATCATCGTTTTTCTGTGTGAGGCAGATGTGTGATTATGCCAATCTGTTCTCAGCTGGCTTTACCATGGTCTTGGGAAATAATATCTGACCAGAATGTGTGCAGACTCAGCTTTCAAGCTCACTTCAAGGAGTGCACTTACTATTTCTTGATTCCGATTCAGAAGAGTAAAGAAAAAAAAATCACCTCTATCAGTCACCAAATGACACGGCTTTCCTCTTGCTTTAACGACTAAGAACTGATGCTCTTTACTCCTGGGAGAGCAACAAGGGGCAGATCCATCTCCTTCCTGTGGGCGCCAGGGCTGATTGGAATTTGAGGAAGGGAGAGTGAGGTGGAAAACGTCCACTCTCCAGGTATCTGCAATTGCTTTTTTCATGAGTTCTAAGCCAGGCATAAGCTGAGGCCAGCTGGCTTGAAAATGTGTGTCTTTGGTCCCAAGGAGTATGAAATAAAGAAGAGAGTTATGGTAGTAAAAACAGCGCACCGCGGGAAAACTGCGCATCCCACTGATGGTGGGTAGATATTATACTCTCCGTATTCCGAGAGCAGCCTGTATCGTATCTTCATGTTCAGTTGCTCACGATGTCCTAACCTATGCACAGCTCCCCCACCCTCACTTTCTGTAAAACAAAAGGCAGAAGTAGATTTCCCAGAGGTCACATCAGTAATGAACTTTGAAGTCTTGTTATCCATGTTGGAAGATACGAGGGTGACAAAGGTATTCTGCATTGGGACCTAATGTTACCTAATGCCACCATTAGCAGCCATGGGACCCCAACACACTTCCCCTAAACTCTCTTTAATTTTCTTATTTTAAAAATGAGGACAAACATAGTCTCTTGCAGAGTTATTTTGGTGTTAAGCAAGTTAATTTGTGTAAAGAGCCTGGAATACACTACTTAATGGATAAACCATAGCTTATATTATCTTCCTTAGTCCCCCTTCATACCCAAGGCAGGAGAGCCACAGGGATAATCTGGTTTCCAGATGTAATTCTCAGGTCAGACAGGAGGGCCTCCTGACCACTGGAAAATAAACTGGGATCATGCAGCTGCCCCAGAGGAATAAGGTCTTTAAGTTGACCACCTCTGGAAAATGTCCTTCCCAGGGTTTCAACTTTGATAGAAATACTGGATCATCAGTACTTGCCTGTTCCTCTGGTTAGTGTTTATATGGTCCTCATAATCTGAGAGTGAAGTCCATGTTCAGGTGATTTACAAAACATTTCTTTTTGTTTGGTATACCAGCTGAGGCTCTGGGGGGAATGCAGTGATTTATTATATAGCAAGAACACTGAAGGATTCTCTCAGCAAGCCGACATCCAGGACAAATTGGCACCTCTCTGCTACTGTAGGTTATGGAAATCTGTTGAGCCTAGGAGTTTGCTGGTTTCTTGTGCCTAATTCAGTTAAATGCAGATGATTCGAGCTTGTGTGTGTGTGTGTGTGTGTGTGTGTGTGTGTGTGTGTGTGTGTGTATACGCAGGTGCACACTCACATATACAAGTGTTCGTCTGCCCAGCGCAGATTCCATGATATGTACACAAGAACAAAGAGAGATGGAGACAAGTTCCTCCTTACATTCTTTTTAAAACTTTTTAATTTCTTAAAACAAGAAGCACCATCTGGCTCATGTATGAGTGATACGCAAACGGTTTACAAAGGTGAGCTGCCTGATTTCCTATTACATATTTAGAAAGAGAAAACACACATGTCTGCACCAGAGTGCCAGGACCATTTGTTCTGTCTTCTTAAGACTCTGCCCAGTGACAGATACCTTTCCCTCCTGTGGATCACTCACTCTACACTTCTGAGATGGCTTTTAAACTGGCTTGGACAGGGGTGGGGTTTTGGTGCCCATCATACCTTTCTCAGGACATCAGACAACAGTAAGGAGTCAGCGGTCGAATCTGGAATTAAAGAAAGTTTTGAGAGTCCTGAAGAGGAGGAATCTGGGATTCCAGAATAGAAATGTTTGCAGATATTTTTATTTTGGGGGGGAGGCGATATGCTGAAATATGGGAAAAACAGGATCCGAGGGCCCAGTGCTCTGATCCTCCTTACCCAGAGAACCAGGAGAGTGCCTTCCTGTTCACCTGGCTGTCCTTTGTGCCTAGTGCAGCGCCTAGCACTTAGAGATGCCCAATAAAAATAGGAATGAATGGATGAAGTCAGAATGGGGCTTCAGAGTTAGGCAAGAAGTAGATTAGGCCAGACCAAGAGTAGTCTGACTGGCAAACAGATGCCCATCTAGGGGAGCTTAGTCTTTGCAGATGTTGTAGGGAATCCATTATCTAAGCATGTAGAATAAGTACCTGGGGACAATGTCCAGAGGACACAGGTGAGTGGTGGTCAGAGTCAAGGATGACCCCAAGTCAGAGTTGAGTCTTGGTAGGGGGTGGAGCCAAGTGTCCAGGAGATATGAGGGGAAGTATGCCAAAATGTCGGCAGAGACACATAAGGGGGACAGAAGGCATGTCTGGCATTTGATAACAAGGCACTGGGTTCTGAGTTGGCAACTCCAGATCAGGGTGCCTGGGAGCCCCTGGGAGGATGTCAACAGTACCCATTTGGATGTGGGAATCATCTAGAATAAACTGATTTGACTGGTAGAATATTTGATTTTGTGGATGCCATGGTGCCCCCATGGCCAGTGATGAAAAGTATAGGCTCTTGGGCCCACATTACCTGGTTTGCATCCCAGCTCCTATAATTCCAGGCTGGATAACCTCGGGCAAGGTATTTAACCTTTCAGCATCCCCAACTGTAAAATGGAGCTACTAGTCCATATCATATGCATTTACTGTAAGGATTAAGACTTAATAAATATAAAGCTCTTGAGATAATAAATGTTAAATAAATATTAGTTAGTGTTACTATTATTGGAGCTAAAATACAATGTCTTCCTAATCCCAAAATGGGCATTTTGAATAAGGCTTACCCAAGTGTATTAGTTAAGCTAGGCCACCTGCTATAGTGAATAGATGCAAATGTATATATATTGGTTCCCACACAAATAGAAGCCTATTTGTAGGTCATATACCAGTATGAGCAGGTGAACTTGTTGGAGAAGTAGCCCTCCTTTGTGCAGTTGTTCAGGCTGCTGGAGCTCTACCCTCTTCTTTGTGCGGTGTCCTTGGTCACCGTAGGCATCCATCCCCATTCCACAGCTGGAAGGGGGAAATGGACATGAAAGAATGCATGTGGTTAAAGGGTCTGATCTGGAAGAGGGGACTGTCTCTTACGGCAAGAACCCAATCACATGCATGGTCTCACTGTTTGTAAGGGAGGCTGAGAAATGGAGTGTAACT